ACAATTTAAATGGCTATACTTGCGTCGACGCCGCAGCCGCAGGCACCCAAAGGTATCGAAGCCCGCAGGAAACAAGGTGATCCTCGAGGAAGACGCTGGTAATCGAAGCCGTTTGCATAAACATTAACAACGGCTTATTAATTATAAACTAAAAATACAAAAATTTTATTTATTTTCGGATTCTTTATAGACATTACCGCCCTCCATGCACAGCGCTCACCCAGTGATGACCTCGTTCCTGCGAAGCCGCCCCATCTTGGTCCGGCGGCCAGCAGGCTGTTCTTTACTTTGCGTTTGTTTTTATTAAATTAAAGAGGAAAACAGACAAATAAAACTCTTTTTCTATTTGTTTATTCAAAAATAATATTGAGTTCTTAAGGAATGATCAGCACACCTCCGCCTTTCCTCGTCGGCTGCAAGCAATACGCATGGTGTGGTGATAGGAAGTAGAGATGTCTGTAGCGGGCTCACTCTGCTTGCTGTCTTCAATGCATATCTTTTCTCTCATTAATTTTCAGCTCCATGCTCCTCTCCTCATCTGCCGGGTGTCTACAAGCCCCTAATAACCCCAGTACTTCTCTTGCCTTCATANCATGCTCCTCTCCTCATCTGCCGGGTGTCTACAAGCCCCTAATAACCCCAGTACTTCTCTTGCCTTCATAGAACTGCTGCCGCCTGTGGGGTGTTGGCTTGTATCGAACGCAGCGCGAGCGATGCACCTTCACATGGAGCGCTACGCCATTACCCCTTAGCAGTATGCAACAAGCCCTAACTAAGCGTTAAGTTTTTACTCGTATCCCGCCAGACACAGCTGCTCTTTCCTCACAGCTGCCTGTCTCAGCCTAAAACCGTGTTTGTATAGCATCTCAAAAGGCTCTGGGTGTACCCGTGTTTGTTCACTCCTTCCTCTAAAAAGGCCAACTGATACGGGGTCTGTGCAAGCATAGAAAATGCAGCTTTCTCTGTGTAAAGTCTGTTTGTATATTACTACTCACCTAAAGGCTGGCTACTGAAGGCCAAGTATGTGCTCAACGATGTTCTATAGTGTTATCTCATGCAGAAGAGTGATAATGGTTGCGCATGCATGTGGTGTTGCCCTTCACCACGGGTTGCATCGAGGTGCGTCTTACCTAGTGTGAGGCCGCTTCCTCCACCCCAGACCCAGGCCGTGGTGTCGCCTGGTGCACTCCGAAATAGGACTTGAGCGGAGGTCAGCTGTTTTTCAGAAACTCTTACCTTGAATATATTGGTTTTAGTACAATTACCAATGCTCAGACACGATCGATGATTCTCATTATAGTTGGTAGCTCCGCATGGTCCGTCGGAGCGCGTGCGAGCAGCGGAGCTCGTTCCCGTGGCGGGGCTGCTAAGCCCATAGCAGTCTCTAGTAAAAACAAAAGATGAAAAAGAATGTTTTTAAACATGTTTCGAGAATTTCCAACACAAGCCCACCTTGTTTTCCCCCCTGCATAATGGATGTAGCAATGATGCGTTGGGGAAAACCGTGTGGAGCTTTCAGGGATGATTAAGGAATAACTGGGCCACTCCCTCCGCTGTAACTGTGCTCGAACAGTCAATAGTGTAGGCTTATTTTCTTAGTCTGTCGACGACGGCATAGTTACTATCGGAACCTCTGACTGATGGTATGCCCACTATAAGGTTTGAGATGTCCGTCCAGACCTGTTCAGCAATTGGAAGTCTCTGCAGGGACAAGGGTTTGAGGGTGCTCCATGGCTGTAGCTGCTGAGATTTCAAAGAAGTGAGTGCATATTCAACGACGGACGGGCGCGTCGTAGGCCATCCAAACGGGCCTGGACACTCGCTCCACTGCTGTATTGGACGGACACACCGTGACCCGCTACAGCATGAACATGCATGTTGGGCAAAATGTCTCTGCGAAGCGAAGCTAGAACATACAGCCTGCGGAATCCGCGTTCCGTCTGGTACCGCAAGGGACCGGCGTCCACGCTGTACTGCTTAATCCGCCGCCCATTGAGGAGCTAAGTGAGAATCGCAGCAGTCTGAGCGTCTAAGGAGAAAGAAGCGGACAATTTGCAAAGGAAACGGGAATCACCACCGAGAAACACTGTTGCCAAACACCATGCCCGACCTGTGATGCATTAGCTGAGCACGTCAGCGACCGCGTTGGAGAGATCTGGTTCAACTCCCGCTTCAGAGACAAGGAACCGCAAGAGGTATTAACATGAAAAACGAGCACGTTTGGGCTTTCTAAAAACGCTGCTTCTCGCGATAGGAGTTGCAGGAACTCTACAAGCGCTGGAGGTTTTCCTACGCGTTCGGCTGAACACAAACAAGGCTATGGATCTATGTAACTGCCCGGTTCTGACTTATTTGCCTCAAGAAATCGTGATGGATCTGTCGCTGCAGTTCGGCAGGTACATTGCCTGACAAGCCTAAAGCACATACATGTGTACTTTAGTTTGCGGCTTTACCGCTGTGACTTGCAAAAATTTGTGGACGAAGCAAAAGGATAAATATTCTGCTGAACATTGCTAGTGGTCAAACGGTTAAGCGCTTCGTTGATCAGGGTCATCCTATACATGTGCCACGGTGAATATGTTAAGGGGCTTGAACTCCACGCATATACGCCACATCTTTCTTCGCAAACACTGGATAGCGTCCAAACAGTCCAGACGCGTGTTCCCACAATAACCTACGAATAAACGCCGGTAGAAGCTCACCTCGGAGTGCTTCCATATCGGGTTTGCTCCAGAGAAGTTGTACCCTTGCGTAAATCTAAATAACATCGTCATGCTTTCGCTCCTCATACAGGTGCCAGTAGCAACTGTAACGCTTCGGACGCACTTTCAAGAAGGAAGGACAACTCAAAGGATGCAAAGAACGCCTTTCCTGGCATCGCACCGTTTTTCATCATCTGCGAAAGGTCAAGAAAGGCGGAGGCATTCTTCATGAATTGTCTCTCCTGCAAGGACATTTTCCGCGGTGTGAGGTGCAGATATTTCGGTTGTTCACAGCGGTGATCCTCCCAACCGTTGGCTGCTTTTTCACTGGGGATCAGGTTTTGGTCCACCTCTACTGTGTAATGGGGGGAAACGGGCTGATAATGTGACGAAGTGCTTAAAGAATAGTATCTAGAGATGTTTTTTTTTTCATTTCATTGAAGAACAACTTCGCTAGTACTCACGGATATGCACCGGTACGCTCACCTGTGGGGATGGAGTTCTCTGCTAGGCTCTTCCCTGATGAACCACACAGTGTAGAGAATTGTAGAGCCGTGTGTACTACAATAGGTTATACATATGCCCAGCCACCTTTGGCAGCATGACCAGGATACGTGGATACTGGAGTGGATACTATAAACTTTTATAGAACTCTTATATTACGTTTGTGAAGCGGTTGCAGCTCGTCACGGTAACTGTTGCTCTCAGCGTCGACGCAGGACCCTCCAGCCCCTGGACCCCCAAAGCCATTGGTTCGTTGGGGCTGGTCAGCGGGCGCCTTCCTCTTGGAGTCTCCCAACTTTACTACAGATGATATTAAAAAACTAAAGCTCAAATTAACGCAAATTCATCTGCTGAAACACCCGCACACCGAAATTGCTGTATCTGTGTCTACCCCGGTGGCCTTGCGCCCGGCGTAGTGCACAGACATTACAGTGTGGAGCTCAAGTGGAACCTCCAGAGACCTCGTTAGATAAAAAAAAACATATAAAATATGAATAGAGACAAATGGCAATACCTGAAGAGATAAATATAAGACAATCGAGTCAAGGATGCTCGGCAGCCACACCGGTGTTTGGGGCTGGCTATGAGACCGACGGTGCGGCTCTCCGACTCGTGGCAGTCAGACACAGAGAGAGATTCATTTTTCTTGAATTCTTTTCTAAGGTTAATGTTCTCTATTATGTTTTAAAATATTTTTTCGGAATATATGAGTTGTTATAGCCTAGATATGCTGTGTTTAGTGCGTATATATAGTCTCTAGACCCTGTAGGGTGTTGCCATGGGTATACGCCGTAGTAGTAGCACGGGAGCGGCTGTTCACTACAGCAGGTCCAGCACTAAAGGGGGCGTGCGTGCAACACCCCACATCATTTATTTCTCTCCACCTTGCTACTTAGATTAGAAATAAGCATTAAAGTATAATTTAAATAAATAGAAGACACTGAGGGGATTCAAACGACTCAAATGCAGTTGGTAGTACATCGTTTCTGTCGCTGAATGGAGATAGAACAGATGCAAGTATAGCGGATATCCGTCCCCAGTAAAAGGCATTCATGAACACAGGAAACTCAGCTCTTAATAATGATTAACATTAATAAATACTTTATTTAAAAAGCATAAATGCTGCTTTTTGCTCAGTTTATATGCAATCGATCTATTGGCACTCCAACGTGCCGCCGCCATAGCACCATTTCACGCTCCTACGGGTCTGAAAAGAATGAAGACGGTTGAATGATATAAATACGACAGTAGAGAATTTGTTCTTTTATGTATTTCTTTCGAATTATATATTTTTTTCGGCTTTCTCTCTAAATTTTTTTTTGCTGGTGTCGTCGCACCGCCTGTCCCCCCTCATTGCTTGTGGTGCCTGCCGTCCATTGACGCCACAGANTTGCTGGTGTCGTCGCACCGCCTGTCCCCCCTCATTGCTTGTGGTGCCTGCCGTCCATTGACGCCACAGACTTCACGGCTTTCCTACTCTGTAGGAGATGGTTGCTGCATTGCTTCGCTCTGAACCATAATCTTATTCCTTTGGAAAAAGGTTTTTATAAGCAATAAAACAAGTCTATAGCTTTCAGCATCCCTCATTTGAACTTGTTTTTCGCAGGCGTGGTGGAGTGTGAAGCTGACGTGTATGCCGACCCGCAACTGACGCACATTGCTGTTGCAGCTTGCGTGGTCTATGGTTTCGACTTAAAAACTTTATAGTCGAGGCCAAATGCATGAACGGCATAATGTTTTTCATGAAAATGCAACACCAAGCGCTGCGTCAGCTGTTGCCTCACCGGAGTTGCCATGGGTGGGAACGATCTCTGGCAGACCGGGGAAGTTGAGGGCCCGAGGCAGTCGTTCTGTTCCGCATATACGTTTCATTCTGTCCGCATTAGCATCTGTTGCAGCAGTAGTATTTCTTGTTTTTGTCTGCTCGCGCATTTATACAAAGAGACGGGTGATCCAGGACCTTCAATTCCGCAGGCTNTTCTTGTTTTTGTCTGCTCGCGCATTTATACAAAGAGACGGGTGATCCAGGACCTTCAATTCCGCAGGCTTGCCGGTGCTGATGATGGTGATGAGGCAATCGACGGCTGCAGGCTCTCTGGCGACGAAGACGATGAGCAAAGGAAACAGAGCCCGCCTCTTCCCAGCTTGCCTGCTGAGAATGAGGGTCATCTGCCCCTCAAAAAGAGAATTTTACTAAAAGCTGCAGGAAGCAGCGCAGCAGGTGAAGGAAGCAATCCCCAGCAGGAAGAGCAACAGCAGCAGCACGATGAAGCTGCTTCTCCACCAGTTCAACCAGCATCAAGGCCAGAGCAGCGTGGCTCCTCGCCGCGTCCGGTTCCCAGCTCACCGTCTTCAGCACAAGGATTAACATCAGAAGAGGTTGATGCAGCAACAGGAGTGCTGCATCTCCCCCCTCACCAGGAAGCTGCTCCCTCTGTTGCTACGGGTGAAAGTCGAAAACATGAAGTGGAGGTGAAACGGCTGCAACGACAAGTGCGGAAGCTGAGGCGGCAGCTGCGGAGAGAGCGGCGGCACCATCAGTGGGTCTTGCGCCGCCTGCAGCGGCAGGACGAACAGGCCGAGCTGGTTCAACGGCAGCAGCAGCAGCAGCAGCAGCAGCAGCACCTGCAGCTTCAGTACCTGCAATGGAAGCAGCTACACCATCAGCAGGTGCTGCTACAAACAGTAGCGAGCCAGCAGCAGCTGCAGCGTCCGCTCCAACGGCAGGAGCAGCAGAGCCCAGTGCAACAGCAGCAAATACAAGACCAGACACAGAGCTCAGAGCAACAGCAGCAAACGCAAGAGCAGAAACAGGATGCCACGGTGAAGGAAAAGGATAGAAAACGTCGCAGGGAGAGACAGCAAGAGGAGGCGGAACAACCAGAGGCAAAGCGGCAGTCTCCAGAAGATGAATGGGTAGACTCGGAGTCTGAAGAGCCTCAGCCCAGTTCCTCTCAACAGGCGTTGCAGCAATCTGTTGCTGCAGCAGAAGCAGCAGCAGATGGCTCCCCCCTCGCCCGTGAGTTGACTTCAGTACTAACTAGAAAGTCAGAGGAACCACGTGACCCTGGAGGCATTGATCAACACCCATTCGTTCGTTTACCGAGACGAATGGTGGCGACGGTACCTTCTTTTTATCTGATAGACTTTCGGAACGCCATGCTTTGTAATGCACCCCGACGGGACGCGTTGCCGCTGCTGGCGCGGGCNTGATAGACTTTCGGAACGCCATGCTTTGTAATGCACCCCGACGGGACGCGTTGCCGCTGCTGGCGCGGGCCCATGATATTCTGGCGCTGTCTGGTGTGTATCCAGTACACTTGAAGGAGTTGTCGCGTATAGGAGTTGAACTGGTAACACATATGATGAGATACCAGCATTTTGACCTGCGTCAACACTCTACAGCCCGCGCAACCGAGAGACTAGGACTTCGTTTTCTTCTGATGGATACTTTGGTTTCCATCATTGAAGTTCTTGGGCAGAAGGTAGACACTGCGCTTTGGGAGCAATTCATAAACACCGTTAGCCACGAATATCCAGGGGCAGCACCGTGGGGGAAAACCCCAGATAAAACGCTTTTCTACGTAGCTCGATCGCAGGAACTAAGCGAAGCAATACAAGTCCTCAAGACGGGAAAAAGGCTGCCAGCAGAAAAGCTCGTGCAGTTGAAAAGAATGATATTATGCTCAGGCAAGTTACCTTTTTTTTTCAGGATAGAATTCGATCGGTGGAGAGAAGATGAGAAGAAGTTTCTTCAGATGCAGGAAAACCCCAAAGACGGGCAGTAGCTTTCTTGATGGGATATGTGGATTTCTAAGGCACTTTAGTAGTGAATGAAAAAGGGGAATCTGTGGAAAAA